GTTTTTTGGCCATTATTCTGTCTTCTTTTGAAAAGTTTCTCTTCATGTCCTTTGCCCACTTTTTGATAGGGTCGTTTGATTTTTTCTTGTTGATTTTCCTGAGTTCTAAGTAGATTCTAGTTATCAGCCCTTTATCGGATTTGTAGCATGCAAAAATTTTCTCCCATTCTGTAGGTTGTCTGTGTGCTCTTTGACAGTTTCTTTGGCTGTGCAGAGCTTTTTAATTTCATCGGGTCCCGTTTATTTATTTTGGTTGTCGCCGTGATTGCCTTTGGAGTCTTCTTCATAAATTCTTTGCCTAGGCAATGTCTAGAAGAGTATTTCCAACATTTTCCACTATAATTCTAACAGTTTCACTCCTGAGGTTTAAGCCTGTTACCCAGCGTGAGTTGATTTTGGTGAGAGGTGAAAGGTGTGGATCCTGATTCAGTCTTCTACATGTGGCTATCCAGTTTCCCCAGCACCATTTATTGAATAAGGATTCTTGTCCCCAGTGTATGTTTTTGTCTGCTTTGTCAAAGACTACATGGCTATATGAGGATGGTTTTATATATGACTTCTCAGTTCAATAATATTTTCTAATGGGGAAGGACTTGAGGTCTTTCAAGGGTCCGTATCAGTACTTGCAACAGCAGTGCCAAGAGCAGAGAGGTGGGGTGAGGAAAGTGAGGGCTCCATGCCAGAGTGCCTCAAGGCTTCCCTGCCATCTGCCACCCTCTGTGTTCCTTACTCCTCCTGTCTAAACACTGGCCATAGTCTCCTCGTACCCCAGTCTGTGTGTGTCCGTCTCCCCAACGACATGTGGCTGTACTTGGCAGCCCTGGTGGGCCTGTACTACCTTGTGCGCTGGTACCGGGAGAGGCGGGTGGTGAGCCACCTCCGAGACAAGTACGTCTTCATCACGGGCTGTGGCTCTGGCTTCGGGAACCTGCTGGCCAGACAGCTGGACATGCGCGGCTTTAGGGTGCTGGCTGCGTGTAGGACAGAGAATGCGGCCGAGGAGCTGAGGGCCCAGGTGTCAGACAGGCTGGAGACGGTGACTCTGGACGTCACCAAGACAGACGGCATCACTGCAGCCACCCAGTGGGTGAAGGAACGCGTGGGAGACAGAGGTACCCCCCAGATTCCTCTTTGTGTCTCTCTCGTCTCTCTCTGGGAAGGGGAACTTTTGTCTGCTAACTGGGAAGGTTCCCAGGACGTTTGGATTTTCGAGGTCTGTGAGCTTCGCGTTTTCCAGAGCAGAATCCTACTGTGCCTGTGTCTGAGTCACAGGGTCCGAGGGGCAGGCACAGCCTGTGTGTAGGGTCGACTCTCTGGAACAAGGTTGGGCCCTTGAGCCAGACCTTGAGCCTGGCAGGCGACAGTGGGGGCCTGGGCCAGGCTGGAACCAGGCTCATGATCTCGGCATTTCTTATTGGTTCCTTCACACTTGTCCCCCCAAGGACTCTGAGATTATCTGTCCTCACTTCACTCATGAGGATGGAGGCTTAGAGCGCTGAAGGGACCTCGTATCACATATTCAGTGATAATTCCTGTCCTTCTGCTACATTATGCTGCCTGTTCTTTCTGTGAAAAGGGAGATCGTGGATTTCTTTCTTCTGATTAGAAATGTAAAACATGCTCATTGAGGAAAACGTAGGATAGAGGATAAAGGTAAAACAACATTCACCGTAATCGCACCCTCCAGAGTTAATTACTCTCTGCCTCGCGTGTTCTGGAATGCGCTTTATACCATCAAATCTCTCCTGAAACGTAACATTGCATGTCTGCATATTTATGCTGAGAGAATATAATTTATTTAAGCAGTCCTATATTGTTGGATGCTGAACTTAGTTTCCCACCTTTCCTGGCATAAATAACATCTCAGCAAAGATTCTGTAATGAGGTTTGTTCACATGCTTAGCAACGTTATTGAAGTAAAGTAAAATGATGGGAACACAGAATACTCATTTGTTGGAGGCCACGAAAGGTGTTGTGTGGGGGAAGCACTAATATTGCAAGGCCTTATTCTCTTTCCACTATTCCTACATTAAACTCTGTCTAACTGCACACCGGCCCTGGCCCACTGAAAAGCCTGCTCCTGCTGACCTTGGGTCTGTAGGTGGGGAAGTCAGACTATTTCAAATCTTGGATGCTTTCTTTGTTCCTGAATATTTCGCAGATCATCTTCACAAGAGCTAAGTTGTCTCGGGAGCCGTGCGGTCATGTCAAGGGTGGACTTTGGGGAGGGTGGAAGGAGAGGTTGACACTGCCTGGGGTAAGGGTGCCATCTGGACACTGGAGTGGCCTGAGGCCTCCTCCCCTGTCTGCCCCATGTATCATTGCATCACAGCCTGTCCCCTAATGACCAAAGCAGGCCTAATCTCTATGCTCCCCAGTCTTAGGATTTTAAGTGTGTCTTTCCCAACCAGGGCAGAATAAACAATTATTCATGGGGTTTTTTAGTCTTCTTTTCCCTTTTTTCCTTTCTCTTCTCTGATTTTCCCTTGACTTCTTTTACCCAATTTCTCTTTTACAGTCTCTGTCTCTCTCCCCTGATGAGATATTTGATGAGCACTCACTCTATTTTCTCAAACTCTGTCCATGCACTTAACAAAGTTGGGTTCATTGCACGGTGCTTTCCAGGCACTGGGAGCAGAGATGACAAGGACGATCCCTAACCTCTAATAGCTTGAAGAATATGCAAACCCTGACACCCTTAAGTCATCACGTCCTCATTTCCTCTCCTCACTCTTTTCCCCATATCAAGTAGCACATTCTTCTTGACTCTATAAATAAACTCAACTGGAATGTGAACTTGAACCCCAGCTGTGTCCACACCGCACACACACAATACAGTGTTGCTCTCTCAATTTCCCACTGTCCCTAGGACTCTGGGGCCTGGTCAATAACGCTGGGATCTCCAGCCCCTTGGCCCCCAATGAGTGGTTGACGAAACAAGACTTTTTGACCATACTGGACGTGAACCTGCTGGGGCTGATCGAGGTGACTCTGAGCCTGCTGCCCTTAGTGAGGAAGGCAAGGGGCCGCGTGGTCAACGTCTCCAGCATGGCAGGTAGATTGTCTCTTGTAGGTGGTGGCTACTGCATCTCCAAGTACGGCGTGGAGGCCTTCTCAGACTCCCTCAGGTATTGCACTGGGATCGGGCCCTGCCTGAGTCCCCCTGTCCCTGGTCTTCTATGGGACCATTTTACAGGGGTTTGATTTAATCACACTTTTAGCAGCGATCCCTCTCTCAGCCTTTTTGGCCCTACCCCTTTCTGGTTTTAGCCAGCCATTCCTTGGGATCTGCTGTCCATGTTCTGGTAGATGGAGGGGCCCCAGGCCTAAAAATCATGTCACATCCTTCTGAGCCTTCTGAGGAGGGTCCACACACAGGACATGTCTGAAGCAGAGTGGAAGTGGGAGAATTTGGCTGCAGGGCCCGTGTCCGCAGCCACTGAGATACTCGGGTGCAGGGAGCCCTTGAGGGGTGGGTGCGGCCTCTGACTCGGCACAACACACAACAGCGGGCACTAGTGTGAGTGCAGCATCAGCGCACCCTAGGAAGGCAGGGTTGGCTCCTTGACCTAAAAACCCCTATAGCTGACAGGGGGAGGGAGAGAAGATAGAAAACCATTGTTGCCAACCCTTATGGGGTTGTGACCAAGTCAACCATGGTGGCTGTGGCAGCCCCCAGATTTGGGGAGGGTCCTGGCTGTGAGGTCTGAACTGAGAACTGAACACCTGGACCTGACAGTGTGCTAAGGAGGAGTGGGCAGGGCTCCTGATGAGAGGACGGCATCAGTCCCGGCCCAGGGTGAGTATTCGCCAACCACCCGTGCTGCGGGGTCTTCCTGGGCCAAAGGACAAGGCCAGTCCAGGTGTGAGGAGCTAGACAGGTGGGCAGGAGTGGGCTGTGGGGGCCTGTTGGCCTCAGACACTTACCAAACTTCATACTGTTGGCCATGGAACCCATGGCGGGGGTATACTGAGGGTGACTGCTTGGTGTAATGGGCATCTAGACACCCACGGGCTGCAGGGAACAGAATGGCTGTGCGTGTGGGGAGCCGAGACTGAAGGCAGAGGGATGCTCCCCAGAAGACAGCCACAGTAGCCCCGCTGAGAGATGGCCAGAGAGTTTACTGGGGCAGCAGAGGGAGGAAGGGGACTGAGAAGCATAGAAGGCGAAATGGGCGAATCCTGGTGATGCCCTGGATGTGAGGGGAATGGGGGAGATAGCCCAGCAGTGGTGCCTTGCAGCTGATGCCAGGGGATTTGGAGCTAGTGAGCTTGGTGTGTAAAATATGTCAACCCTATACACAGGCAATGCCATGGTCATGATTTTTGTTGGTCTTCTGCTACACTTCCCAACGTGCCATGCTTTCTGGCTTATTCTACCACCACCTTGTGTTAGATTTTCATTGGGTTTATATGTATTTTGTGTTCGCCTGCAAGACCTCTGAACTCCTTGCCTTCCGCCTGTCTGTCTCCCAGGAGAGAGCTCGCCCCCTTTGGGGTAAAAGTGGCTATAATTGAACCTGGTTCCTTCAAGACGAACATGACCAATACTGAGAGGGTTTTGCTGCACATTCAGGAGGTGTGGGACCGGGCCCGACCCGAGATCAAGGAGACCTATGGCGAGAAGTTTCTGGCATCCTGTGAGTGCACTGTGCACAGTGAGAGAACTAAACCTTGGACCATGATTAATGTCTCCAACACCATGAGGGGTCTGTCCTCCTGCCGGGTAGTGGGGAGAGGGAAGTTCAGCCTCGTCACAAAATGGGGACCTTCCGCCTCATTCCCAAGGTGCCGTGTGGTCAATAGGTCACCTAGAGAAGGAATCTAGGCTCACCACAATTGGAACCACTGTCTCACCTGGTCCCTTCATTATTTTGAAGAGGAAACTAAAGACAGAGAGGGAAGATACCATGGACTCCTGCATGGCCAGCTGGGTTTGGAGAGGGCTTGTGTTCCTACGCTTAGACTCTGTTAGCAGAGACCTTCAACTTATGTGGTCCTGATATTCCCAGGATGAGAGGCAGGAGGTGGCTTAGTGCAGACCAGTTGTTCCTGGGACAAGGATGGGCCTTATTGTTCCCTGGGGAACCTGCATCAATTAGATTTGGGGCACATCACTATGGGGCCCAGGAATTCTTGGGAATTTCCCTCCTAACTTAGAGTTGTAAATGGGACCTGAGGGATGTGCCACTCCATTAAGGCTGTTTTCTCATCCTGAACAGACTTCAAGGCACTATCTAAAAACCGTTTGCCAATATGCAACGAGAATCTGTCCTTGGTGACGGACTGCATGGAGCATGCGCTGACCGCCTGCAACCCCCGCACCCGCTACTCAGCTGGCTGGGATGCCAAGCTCCTCTACCTCCCCATGAGCTACATGCCCACCTTCCTGGTGGACGCCATCCTCACCTGGGGCCTCGAAAGGCCGGCCAAAGCCCTGTGAAGCCAGGACTGTGGCACTTGTTTGGGTGGGGTTGGATGCTGTGTGAGGGGTGTTTGTCCTAGGGAGAGAAATAGGGTGGAGGGTGAGAGGTCTCATATTAGCAGGTCACCTGTCCTTCCTCTGTCCTCACCTCTGGCCATGATGGATGAGGGGTGATGTGTCACAGTGTGGGAAATAGAGAGGTGGGAGGGAGCTCTCAAGTCTCCAGGGTCGTGTTCCTCACCCCCTCCTCACATCTGCCCCAAGCTTTTCCTGGGACATTAGGCAGGAGTCTGGGGATATTAGGAGAAAAGAAACACATTTGCAGCTTAGGAAGGGAGACCGAGTCACATATATTGGCATCTTATTTCCTTAGGCAATCACTGAAGTCTCTGACCTCAGGGCCCACATGCCACCCTAAGGAATGCACACTTTTGGGAGGGCAGAAACAACTGGGGTGAATGGGCCAGCCCACAGCTGCTCTGCCTCCTGTACCCCGTATCAAGCTATGCCTTGCCTGGACAGTCTACACCCTCCTACAGGATGGAAATTGCCTGGAGAGGAGGGCTCCCTCCTCTAGATGTACCTGTGCACATGGGGTGGGAATGGGGAGGGCAACCACCAACCTGACCCATCAGGCCTCAGGTGCCAACTCAGCATGGAGACCTGTCATGTGAGAGTGAGAGGCATTCCCAGCCCTGGGAGGAAGAGCCCTGTACATGGTCCCACAGGCTTCATACTCCTACTTCTGTGGCCCGTATTTTCAGTTTCAGGCAAGGGGAACACTGCCTTGGCCAGCTGTCAACAGAGTGGCCCAGGAGGTGCTGAGTTAGGCCCAGGCCTATATTGGGGCAGTTCTGAGTCACCCCCACCCAGGTCCAGAGCCTACCTCTGGATTTTACCTGTATCCTCAAGAACTGGGATACCCACTGCTCCTGGGCCTGCTTAGCCCCTGAGTGATATGGTCTGACTTCTCCCAGCTAAGGCTTCCCTGTTCATTCACCCAGGAGGCAAACAGAGACGGGGAGGTGCTTCCCAGATCCAGTGTAGGACAAGCTCTGCCACAGGGTGGCATGAAGTAAGGTTTGCCTTCCACCCCTGCCCTCCTCCCTCCCCTATGGGCTTTGGGTCTGCTCTTCAGGGATGGGTCCATGGTCTGACCATCCCCAAACCCCACTCCAAACTGTCTTAGAACAGAACAGCCAAGCTCTGCTGGGCTTTCCCAAGGTGACACCTGCTTTATCTGATTCTGGGGATGGCCAGACTGGATAAATAGTGGAGTACAGAGATGCATCCTTTGTCCCTTCACTCTAGGGAACTCTGTGGCCCCATTTCTGTGTCAGATCCTCTAAAGTGAGAAGGTATGGGCTGGTGACCAGGCTCCTGAGGAATAGTGATGCTGGAGATTGATCCATGGAAGCACACTAGGCTCCAGCATCATTCTGTCCCTGAATCTTATGCAGTTCTGGGTGTGGTCCCTCACTACTCACACCTTTGTCTGGTTTCCTCATTTCCTTTCCTTCACTACCTTCCCCCCTACCTTTCTGTCAGTTCTTTGCCCAATTGCCTGGAATCTCTCCTTCTTCTCCAAGTCCTGACCCTGAGAATGTTCTAAGTCTCTGGCCCCAGTTCTCTGCTCCTCCTATATCTCATTCCCTCCCAGAGCCAAGGACTTTGCCCAGGCCCTTCCCTCTGCTGCCCTGTGAGCACATGAGCCCTGCATCATCTGGCTGGGTACTCCTCACTGGTGACCCGAGTGTCCCCCCTGAAGGCTTCAGGCCCAAGTCCCTCAGGTCCTTCTACTTTTGGGGAGTTGGGGCCTCACGTCACCAGCCTCCCCTATAGGAGGACCCTGCTGCTTCTAGCCTCAGACGATGCAGGCCCATCCACCCTGGGGGAAATCCTTTGTTTCTCATTCTCTTTCATGATGGAGACTTACCTAAGAATTCCAAAAAGCTGCTGACCTGGAACTTGTTTCTCTTGGGGTTTGGAAAGCACAGAACCAATTTTTTGTTTGTTTGTTTTGCATTAATGAATTTTTTTCCCTGAAAATAAAAATTAAATTTATTTACATGCCTGTATTAATGACAAATGATTTTGATCCCTGGGCCAGGGCTGGGGCTGGGATGGGGAGTTTCCAGGGGGGCTCTCTAGGCTGAGTCCTCCTTTCTCATTTACTCCCCTTACACCAGGGGGTGAGCCACCTGTCATCACCAACATTGCCACTGGGGATTTTCCCACTCTTGGCCCCTTTACCCATCAGGGCAAGGGGAGAGAGGGAGGCAGCCACCAGCACTGTCAGAGGTGACAAAGCTTCAGGTTGGACTTGAATTTCTTGCATCTGGGCTAATTGGTATGGTGATGCATCCACCTATAAAAATTATAGAGTGGCTCACCCAGAGGCCCCGCATCTGTTGCAAGCAGTGGCAGGGAGGAGAGCTCTTCTTCCCCGTGGGTTCCAACAGACTGCCGACTGGGGCTCAGAGGACCAGCCTTTCCTGCTGACTCCTGAGCCCAGTCCTTCCTGGCCATCACTTTCCTCCTGCCCTATGGCGGCTCTCACGGACCTCTCCTTTATGTACCGCTGGTTCAAGAACTGCAATCTGGTCCGCAACCTCTCAGAGAAATATGTCTTCATCACGGGCTGTGACTCGGGCTTCGGGAACCTGCTGGCCAGACAGCTGGTTGATCGGGGCATGCGGGTGCTGGCTGCTTGCTTCACTGAGGAGGGGGCCCAGAAACTTCAGCAGGATACCTCCTATCGGCTGCAGACCACCCTACTGGATGTCACCAAGACTGAGAGCATCCAGGCGGCAGCCCAGTGGGTGAGGGACCAAGTGGGCGAGCAAGGTGGGGCGAATTGCATTCTTTGGCTCTCTCCATATCTCCTTCTTTCTCTCTCTCTCTCTCCCCTAAAGCGTCTGACATGATGTCCACCTGGGATGAGAGAGGTGATGTGGGGAAAGGGGTTGAGGCTCTGGCTCAGTCGTATTGGAAGCCACTGTATGGTTTGGCCTGTTCACATGAGGGGGTGATTTCCCAAGGAAGTTTTCTCTCCTGGAAACTCAGAGGAACAGGGAAGAGGTTAACATAGGAGGTGAGGGAGGGAAGATGTGTACTGTATGTCCAAACCTCTAAAGATGGAGGTGCCTCTCTGAGACTTCAGGAATCCTAACCATCAACTCCTATAGAAATACAAAACTCATTTCTTGTTGGGATTAGACCAGTGGGAGGTGGAAGGGGTGGGAGGTTGCATCCCAGGAGTGGATGCATTTGCTCTCCTTAACTGTGGCAGGCAGGGGAGAGAGAGAGTTCTTCTTGACATCACAGTAGATGTTGGTTTCACTTCAGGACAAGTGTCTGTGTCAGAGTGGCTGATTCTACTGGGAAAGGAGGCTGTGGACTGGGGCTGGACCAGGACTGCACAGGGACCTGCCCCACAAACTTCCAGCACACAGGGTGTGGGTGCAGGAACAGGAGGAACAGGATGGCTGGGTTGCAGCAGCCTGGGGGAAGTCCTCACTCCTACAGGAACTAGTCTGAGATCTGCGCATAGGGGTAGGCAGCAGAGCCCTGGAGCCAGGAGGAGCCAGACAGTAACTCCTTGCTTTAGTTCTCTCCTTAGCACTTACGACTATTCAACATATAATATATTTTACTTATTATTATTATTTATTGTCTGTTTCCTCTCCTAGAATAAGGCTTCCTGGGGGCAGGGCTTTTTGTCTCTTTTATTTACTGCATTTAGTGCGTGGAATAGTGTCTGGCACTTTGATGCTCAATAAACATTTGTCGAATGAACTAATTATTGAATAATTCAGCAAGAGTGAGCCTCTTTCTTCAAGAGGCTGCCTTGGCCAGCACCCTACATTCATCCTTGAGCCACCTGAATTAATGATTCACTGGGTATATGAGTTTCCTGTTGCTGCCGTAACAAATTAACACAAATGTAGTGGTTCACAGCAACACGTAGTTATTATCCTTTAGTTCTGGAGGAGAGAAATCCCAAATGGGTCTCACTGGGCTAAAATCAAGGTGTCAGCAGAGCTGTGGTTTCTTCTGGATGCCTTAGGGGAGAATCCATTTCCTTGCCTTTTCCAGTTTATAGAGGTGGCCACATTCCTTGGCTGGTGGCCCACTTCCTCCAACTACAAGGCCAGCAAGGTCGAGCTGAGTCCTTTCCATGCTTTTTCCAGTTCTCTGATTTCTGCCTCTTTCTTCCCCTTAAAAGGACCTTTGCGATTATATCGGGCTCACCAGGCTAATCCAGGATAATCTCTCCCACTTAGCAGTCAGCTGATTAGCAACCTTCGTTCTGTCTACAATCTTAATTTCCCTTTCCCATGCAGTCCACCATGTTCACAGATTCCAGAGATTAGGGTGGGAATATTTTTAGGGGACCATTATTCTGCCTAGGCCCCTGGGCAAAGTCCTTGGTCTAAGAAGCACTGGGAACTGGGGGGCAGGGGAGGGACGCCCAGGGAGAGGAAGTGACTTGTCCAAGGCTGGACAGGACTGGAACTGAGGCTCTTCAACCCTGGGCCCCTGCAGAGTGGAATGACAACACTTGGCATCATTTTTCTCCATTTATACCATTTAAATATCTCGAACAGAGCCCTTATCACATGTTTCCGTAAGTATTTTATTTAAATGTTTTATATATTTATTTATAATTATTATTATTTACTCTCTGGTTTGTGAGCTCCTTGCAGGATAAGACCCTGTGTCGTTCATTTTCTGTCTCCTTTGCTCTGTGATTAGCACAGAGTAAATGCATGAATGAATGAAGTGTGCATGTGAGAAATGCAGTTGGTTACACTGAGGTGAATAGGGAGGGGAAGCGTGACAGGGGAAGGAATCCTAACATTAATCCATTGCTATAAGAATGATATCTCTTATCCCAGAGGTAGTAGTTTAGGTACTGTTAGCTAAAGCCTGGATTGTGGCTGCTACAGAGCCCCAGGTAGCTTGCAGCCTTTCTGTGAATCAGGAAAAAGAGCCTTCTGGGGAAAACTAATCAGTAAAAGGCACATCTTCCTTCAGGCTGTTATAGCTCCCCACCCCAGGCCCCAGGCCCGGCAGTTTTGTGTCTTGTGCACCTGTCCAATCACCCTTGGTGGCCCTGAGCTGATGCAGAGTCGACCCTGGTGCTTTCCCAGAGACGCTGCTGATTTTTGTGTGGTTCTCTCTCCCTCTATCTTGCCCCCAGGCCTCTGGGCACTGGTGAACAATGCTGGTGTGGGCCTGCCCGGTGGGCCCAGTGAATGGATGACCAAGGAGGACTTTGTGAAGGTGATCAATGTGAACCTGGTGGGACTGATCGAAGTGACCCTTCACATGCTGCCCATGGTCAAGAGAGCCCGCGGCAGGGTCGTCAACATGTCCAGCTCTGGTGGTCGTGTCGCTGTCATTGGTGGTGGCTACTGCGTCTCCAAGTTTGGCGTTGAGGCCTTCTCTGACAGCATCAGGTGACTGGTCCCTGGTATCAAACCACTGTGGGTGGGAATCCCAGGGGATTCACCCCAGGAAGAGAGGGCTGGGGTGACAGTGTGTGGGCAGGGGAGTCCTGCATGGAGGAAGCTAAAAATAAAACAGTAGCAGAAGAAAAGTTAGACCTCAAGGGGCCTTCGCCAAGGACCAAGAGAAGAAGGGATGAGGAGAAGTTGTGGTGTGGAAATAGGAGGGGTCCAGTGGGCCTTCCCTTGAGCTTCCCCAGAGCAGGGGAAACCCTATTTGGCCCTGTGGGAGTAGGAGGGAGAGGCCCCAAATATACAGTTAGGCTTGGGGCAGCAGAGGATACAGGCCTTTGTGTAGACCCCTCACTCCTTTTGCCATGTGGGTGTTGGGTGTGGGGCTGAGGGTGGGAGAGGCCTGGTAGAAGGCAAGACCTTGGCCTAGATTCTCTCTTGTCTTCTTCCCCTCTGGCTTCGCCTGATGCAAATTGCCCAGAGACTGCTGGGCCAGTTTGGGAAAGGGCCGAGGCCCTAAGGAAGGGCTTATTTGCATGAATTTGCAATGCCCTGGCCCAGTGCAAGGGTGAAGAAGTATCTCCAGGTTCCTGGGGAGACAGGCCCCTCCAGAGGTGACTCTCACTGATGACCATTATCTTGGGGCCCAGACTGAGTGCAACTCTTCTTTCCCAGGCGTGAGCTCCACTACTTTGGAGTGAAGGTCAGCATCATTGAGCCCGGGAACTACCGGACATCCATTCTGGGCAAGGAGAGCCTGGAGCAGCGCTTTCGCAAGCTGTGGGAGCGGCTGCCTCAGGAGACCCGGGAGAGCTATGGGGAGGAGTACTTCCGCATCTGTGAGTTCCTGGGCATGGGTCTCGGGGGTCACTGACCAGCTTTCAATTTATAGGTGTTGAAACAGAGGCTCAGAGGGGTTCGGGGCCCAAGGACACACAGCTAGTGGCAGAGCTGGGGTTTGAGAATAGAGACCCAGTGGCAAAATTGTGGCTGCTGGGGAGATGGGGGAGGTAAGAGATGCTGTCCACTCCTGGCACCTGCTCCCAAAGCATCATTATGCAAGTGAATCCAGTGAAAATGCGCTGAGATGAGTCTGCAAACGTGACTAAGAGCATGGCTGCTGGAGCCAGACTGCCTGAGTTCAAATCCTTGCTCTGCCACTGACCAGCTAGAAGACTTTGGACATATTACCTAGTCCCCTATGCCTCAGTTTTCTCGTCTCTAAAATGGAGCTGATGATAGTGCCTACCTCACAGGATTGCTACGAGGATTAATGTGTGTGAAGTATCTTGCACACTCTGAGTGCTCGTTAAATAAAGAAGAAAATGAGCATGTGGGTATTTAAAAGGGAGGGTCTCTAGGCGCTCCCCTTCTGTCCCTGAGCTAAAGGCGTCCTGTGAACCTTAGGTGTTTTGGGAGGGTAGAGACAGGGCATGATAGCTGTTTACCATTTTGCCCAAAAACTTTGTGTTGCAGAAGTGGTCTCCCGAACGTCATATGTATAATGCCATGACATAAAAAACAAGACAGCCATTTCTTCATTTAATACATGTTTTATTGTGAGGTCACCATGTGCCAGGCACTGAGAGTGCCATGGACTAGAAACATGGGGCTATGAAAGAAGAGCGGGGCTGGGAGTAAGAGCCCCAGTTCAGATTGTGGAGTGGGAGAAAGCTTCTCTGAGTTGACTCTGAGAAAGAATAAGAGTGAGGTGGAAAGGGCAAAGGGGGGATAGGCAGGGACTTTTTTTGTAGGAAGGCTCTGAGGTAGGAAACTTTTTGAGGAATTTTAAAGAAACCAGAGGGTGGGGAGCAATGGGGGAGGGCTGGAGGGGGCACAGGATAAATTAGAGCATCAAAGCATACCAACAATTAAGGATGTGATCTGATTTGTGATTAGAAAAGACCACTTTAGGCTGGGCGTGGTGCCTCACGCCTGTAATCCTAGCACTCTGGGAGGCAGAGGCGGGAGGATCGCTTGAGCTCAGGAGTTTGAGACCAGCTCTGAGCAGAGCGAGACCCCGTCTCTACTAAAAATAGAAAAAATTAGCAAGTCAACTAAAAATAGAAATAAAAAATTAGCCAGGCATGGTGGCTCCCGCCTGTAATCCCAGCTATTCGAGAGACTGAGGCAGGAGGATCGCTTGAGCCCAGGAGTTTGAGGTTGCTGTGAGCTAGGCTGACACCATGGCACTCACTCTAGCCCGGGCAACAAAAGCAAGACTCTGTCTCAAAAAAAAAAAAAAGAAAAGACCATTTTGGTTGCTGCACTGTCCTAGGCTAGACCAGCCAGTGGTTTGGACTGGAAAGAAGGTAGAGAAGTTCGAAAGAAGTTGATGGATGCCAGGTGTATGTTAGACCTGCTGCTACTGGGGCTGAAGGAGAGAGAATCTTGAAAGACAAGTGCTAGGTTTTAAAGCTCAAGGAACCTGGTGGATGGAGGTATTATTCATTCATTGATTTAGGGAAGCCTCAGGGAAAAATATTCAGAGAAGTATTCCTTAGAGAAAGTAATCTTTTAGTTGTGGACATGTTAGAATTCTGTGAGGAGAAAATATGTCTGAGGATTTACCTTAGCTGGGACTTTGTCAGTAACAAGTGACAGAAAATCCAACCGAAATTATTCAGGAAGAAAAGGAATTTCTTAACTCGCATGACTAAAAATTTGAGCCAGATGGGCTTCAGGTACAGCCTGATCCAGCTCACAAATGATGTTATTAGAGCCTGGTTTCACCCTATGTCTTGGCTCTGCTTCTTTTATATTGACTCCAGTCTCACAAGCTCTCTGCCCTGTGGGGGTCACATGGCTGTAGCATCTCTTCACCTCATCCTAGGGTGAGGTCTGCTGGAAAAAGGGAGAGTCCTTTCCAGGAGCTCCCCATAAAGTCCTAAAGTTCACTTTGACTTAGAGGGCCTTTGGTGGCTGAATCAGAAGGAGCCCAGGATATACCCAGCCCTGAATCAATCACTGTGCCTGCCCAGGAGAATGTGAAAGTCTTGTTGGCTCAGGCTGGGTCATGTGCTCTGCCCCAACCAAAGGACTCAGAATGGGAGAGGCATGGATCCCTGAAGGGAAATTGGCAGCTGCTGGGAACAAGGGGAGTAGATGTTAGCAGGCAGGGGGAATAATGTATATCCCCCGTGTGATCGCTCTAAAACTCCCTCAGCAAAGAGTAGTTGAAATTATTTATGGAGTTCCTATGAGGCTAGAGTGAAACAGACTCAGTCAGTGTCTGGAAACTTCACAAAGTCATTTTCTAAGTAAGTAATCAACGCAGTGAGAGTCTTTAGTGCAGCCTGAGAAAGAGGCCGTGTGTGGTGGCTCTTGCCTGTAATCCCAACATTTTGGGAGACCAAGGCGGGAGGACTGCTTGAGGACAGGAGCTTGAGACCAGCCTGGGCAACAGAGCAAGACCCCATCTCTTACAAGGAATTTTTTAAAACCTTAGTCAGGCTTAGTGACACATGCCTATAGTCCTAGCTACTCAGGAGGCTGAGGTGGGAGGCTCGCTTGAGCCCAGGAGTTCTGGGCTGCAGTGAGCTATGATTGCACCACTGCACTCCAGCCTGGGTGACAGAGCAAGACCCTGTCTCTAAAAAAGAGAAAAAGAAAAAGAAAAAAAGAATATGTATACGTATAAAGGCAAACTTCCTCTGAAAACCACTTGTCAAAAAGCTAGTATTTTTATACTGAAGAATAGTTAAGGATTGTGGGTTTATAAAATACCGTATGCTGATTCATCTGTAGTCCACACCATAATTTCAGAGGAAAATTTTCAGGCAGATGTCAAGTATCTTTAGATAAAACATTTTCCCAAATGTTTATACTCTAATTTTCACTTCGGTTACCTAGTATTTACTGGGATACAGAGATGAGACAAAGTCTCCAGGAATCTAGTAGAGGAGGTCGAAAAGGACATACAACACCACATGGAGAATTGTGCAATAACGACATGCATACAAACCAAAGCAACAGTACAGAGACTTAAATCTGCTCTCACAAAAGCCTCACAGAGGTGACAATGCCTTAGTGAGTTTTGAAGGATGAATAGGAGTTCACCAAAATGGAAAGAGATGGCGGGTGTTTTGCAAAGAAGAAAGAACATGAGCAATGCTTTTGGAGACCTGACTTAGTGTTGTATGTTTTGGAGGCAGTGTGGATTCAGGGCTTGGATTCCAATGGTCCCTTTAATCATGTTACACAACTTTCTAAACTTCCGTTTGTAAAGTATAATTCCCCTGTAATCCCAGCTGAAGTGGGAGGATTGCTTGAGCCCAGGAGTTCGAGGCTGCAATGAGCTATGTTGACGCCACTGCACTCTAGTCAGGGTGACAAAGCAAGACCCTGTCTCTGATTAAAAAGAAGAAAAAGGATGGGTGGTGGCTCACACCTGTAATCCCAGCACTTTGGGAGGCCAAGGTGGGAGGATCATTTGAGGCCAAGAGTTCTAGACCAGCCTCAGCAACATAGAGAGGCTCTGTCTCTGCAAAAAAAAAAAAAAAATTTTAATTACCTGGGTACGGTGGTGTGCACCTGTAGTCCCAGCTACTTGGGAGGCTTAGGTGAGAGGATCGCTTGAGCCCAAGTGTTTGAGGTTATGTCAAGCTATGATCACACCACTGCACTCCAGCCTGGGCAACCTTGCCTCTGAAAAAAAAGAAGAAAAAGAAAAAAGTATGATTCCTCTCTCACAGAATGCTAGGAAAATTTTAAAAACATGCAAAAATGCAGAGTATTGGCCGGGCACAGTGGCTCACACCTGTAATCCTAGCATTCTGGGAGGCCAAGGCGGGAGGATCACTTGAGGTCAGGAGTTCGAGCCCAGCCTCAGCAAGAGCGAGACCCTGTCTCTACTAAAAATGGAAAGAAATTAGCCAAGCAACTAAAAATATAAAAAAAATCAGCCAGGCGTAGTGGTGCATGCCTGTAGTCCCAGCTACTTGGGAGGCTGAGGCAGGAGGATCGCTTGAGCCCAGGAGTTTGAGGTTGCTGTGAGCTAGGCTGACGCCACGGCACTCTAGCCAGGGCAACAAAGTGAGACTCTGTCTCAAAAAAAAAAAAATTAGCCAGGCACGGTGGCACATGCCTGTAGTCCCAGCTACTCGGGAGGCTGAGGCAGGAAGATCGCTTGAGCACAGGAGTTTGAGGTTGCTGTGAGCTAGGCTGACGCCACGGCACTCTAGCCAGGGCAACAAAGTGAGACTCTGTCTCAAAAAAAAAAAAATTAGCCAGGCACGGTGGCACATGCCTGTAGTCCCAGCTACTCGGGAGGCTGAGGCAGGAAGATCGCTTGAGCACAGGAGTTGGAGGTTACTGTGAGCTAGGCTAATGCCACGGCACTCTAGCCCGGGCAACAGAGTGAGACTCTATCTCAGAAAATAAACAACAACAAAAAAAGAAGTGCAAAGTACTCAGCTCAGCTCAACTACAGTGAGAGTTCAATGCACCTTAGCCATTGTTACTATCGCTGGTCTGGCAAGAGTGAAGTGTGAAGGGGCTGTGGTGGGGATTAAGATGGGGAGAGATAGAGGGATCGGGTTATACATGGCTTTGATGGCTACACCGAAGAGTATGGACCTTATTCTGAAGTCACTGGAGAGACTTTTAAATGGTTCTCAAATGACTAACCAGATTTGTATCACTGTGGGAAGGATCAAGAGGCCAGCTGGGAGGCCATTGCAGAAACCCAGTGAAGGAACGGTAAAGACTTGAAGTTACAAGTCGTGGTGGTTGTGGGAGGGAGGGGCTGTGCGACAGCCTGGAGAAACATTTAGGGGTGGTCATACTGCACCACTGGACACAAACTCCAGCAAGCTGCTGTGGCCAACCTGGCTTATAAAGCCCAGGACCAGGCCCCAGGGTTCTTGCAGTCATTTTTAATTGCACCCAAAATAGAACCATATTGGAAATGGCTAATTAATAGCAACCGATGTGGACACGGTCCCAAAGAAGTGGCATGCAGCATCAGCAAGGCAGATGCATGCGCAGTGTAGTACTCTGGTATGATACTAACAGACCTCGAGTTAATGCTCAGCATTGCTCGGGAGAAGCCCAGGCACCTGGTCAAGTTTCTTTTTTTGTCTCAACTCTGCTGTGAAGGCCCTCAAAAATTCTCCTTTCAGTCCCTCTTTCTTCTTGGGAAGGGTCTACTTCAGAAGCCCAGGACTTGACCCTGGCAAAGGAGAAGGGGACAGCAACTAACCTACTGGGCTCTTGCAACGTGCCAAAGACTGGTCCTTGATACTTTATAGACTTTATCTTGCTTAATTCTTGCTGTATCAAAAACGGTTTCCTAGATGCCCAAAGCCAAAGCCCACGTTCTTCCTGTCTGACTGTAGAGGAGAGTGACAGGGCTCAATGGGTACTTCTGTCCTTCTTCCCACTCCATGCCTAGCAGGGTGCCAGCACTGAAGAGCAGCTAGTAAATATTTGCAAGAACAATGAAAGGATGTGCCTCATGCCGCTTCCCATGTCTGGGGTAGCATCTTCTAGCCCACCTATCAGAGCCCAGTCCCCAACCCATCTCATCGTGTCAGCCTCCCCCACCTCCACCGCCCGCACACGCTCCCTGGCTCTGAGGGAAGCGCGTAGCCCTGAGCACCCGGAACAATTCTTTTGACACTCACCTGCCTGCCTTAGTCCCATTGGTGGTGGACTCCACCCCAGGCTTGAGGTCAGAGGACAGGGTGTGTCTTCCCAGGACATTATTACTCTACACACAGTCTGGCTTTAAGCTAGCATGGCTCTTTTGGGAACTCCAAAATGTGATTTGGCTTTTTCCCCACAGCAGTTTTCTCTCCAGGAAACAGAAAGGGAATTTCTTAGAGTCTGGAGTGAAGGGGACTTCAGTGACACTGCTCTGCCCTCACCAAACACCCACTTGGTCCTGACCCCAAGGGGGTGAATTCTCTGCCTGCCTGGACCATTGTTCCCCTCAGGGAAGTCTGACTTGCAGGCACCATTTTGTCTGGAGTCCTTGGGGCTCTCATTGAAGCATGAATCCCACCAGCCCACTCCTGTCCCAGATTCCTGGGGCAAGGATGCAGATGAGGGCCAGTAAGGGCATAGTGTGGCCTGTCTCCTGTTTGTGTTGTGAGCTTTGGCAGACTTATATTTGATACCAACCAGGTGCCCTGCACCCATCTTCGCACCTGTGTGCACAGTGCAAGCAAAACAGCCCCTCACATTGGTTAGAGCCCTAGAAGATGCCTGTGTGTGCCTTAGATCATTTGAGCCCACAATGGCCTTATGACCAAGGGAAAGGGTAGTATTAATATTTTTTAATAATATTTTCTGCTGCACGCTTTTGTAGAAAATTTGGGAACTCTAGGCAGTACATAGATGAAGAAAAAAAAGCCTCCAGTAGCTAGGAATCCCACCAGCCACACAATATTTTTACTTCCTTCATTTCAATTTTTTTGCACTTATATACGTGTGTTTTCTATCCTGTCCTTCCTCACTGTCTGCTTTGCTATTAATCATCTTTGTTATTCTCCAGGGCAGGTATTATCCCCATTTTACAGAGAAGGGAAGTTTAAGCACAAGGTCATACAACTAATGAGTGGCACAGTTATGAGAAGAACTGTACCCGCTAGTCTAATACAATAGTAGGAATTCAAAGCACAATTGTTGAATTCAGGAAGAGGAAATAAGATTATTGGTAATAATTTTATAAATGGGTGTTTGTGTACAGGACAACCTGGAGGTTGTGGCAGACCTTCCAGAAATATTAGATCAGGGATCTGATGGAAAAGGAGCTTGGATGGAATTCAGAAGAAACTATCTTTATAAAGAATAACAGAGCCTTTCATTTGTTCCCTCGTACCCTCAAACAGATACTGAGAAGTTAACAAACATGATGAGGCTGGCAGAGCCAAGAATCAGTGATGTCACTAACAGCATGGAGCACGCTATTGTTTCCCGGAGTCCCCGGATCCGCTACAACCCTGGCCTGGACGCCAAACTCCTCTACATCCCCTTGGCTAAGTTGCCCACCCGTGTAACAGATTTCATCCTGAGCCGGTACCTTCCAAGGCCAGCGGACAGCGTCTGAGCTGGGGAGGCTCAAGGGGCGGTCGGTGGAGTGTAGCGGAGGGAGTGGGAGAAAGGACTGTGGGGTCATAAGAGGTGGAATCAGACATCCTGAGGGTACTGGCTGCAAAAGACAATTTGCTCGGCTGCGACTCACGGCTGGTGAAGCTACTGGTAACTTCTAGCAGAAGGTGAGTGCCTCTCCCCACCCGCTGGGGCCCCTTAGAAATCTGAGGTGGCCTTTGCGGGATCAGAGACCTACAGCGTGGCCCCAAGGACATCCATCACCCAGTCAGGATATGGCTTTTTCTGGGCCTGGAAAGTTAAGGAGAAGGAAACCATCTCCTGCTGAATCATGAGCCCCTCTCAGTTGTCACTGCCACTGGGAAGCACAGTGGGATAATCCAGCCCCCAGCGGAATCTCCACCGCCTTCCTATGGGTCTCTCAATGTGCACTAACCCGTTATGCAGTAGGCCAGACAAGGAGGGACAAGGTTGTATCAGAACAAAAGTTTAAAATATTTTCTCTCTTTAGATTTCTCTATCCATAGCTGATTGGGAACCACATGAAATAACATTCATTTATTTAATCACCATTGATTAAGTCTTCAAAAAATGATTGAATGCCTACTACCTACCAGGCACTGTGTATATGCTGGGGGGACATAAAGATGATTAAACCATGGTCTTGTTTTTTTTCAATTGTTTATTTTGTGTTTTGTTTTGTTTTAGCACCGTATCTAGTAGAAGAGAGGACAAACAGTGATAGAAGGAACAAAAATCAAAAAACAAAGTTTTAAAACTGCAAGGGACCCCGGAGGTCATCATCCAGTAGCTGCCAAACTTGGCTGTACATCACAATCACCCAGTTAATTAAAAATACAGATTCCTGATCCGATGTTAGCAAATCTGATTCAGTAGGCCTGGAATAGAGCCCAGAAATATGTATTTTTAAAAAGGCCCTAAATGATTCTGATGCACTGGAATACTTGGGAGCCAATGATAGTTCCGTAGAAGAAGTAACTCATGCTCAGAGGGGAAAGTGACCTACCAAGGCCACTCAACTTAGTGACCAAGACAGGAATAGAACTCAGGTATTCAGTCTCCCAGATAAGGGGTCTTTTTAGTTATAGGAAAATCAATTTCTGAAATTCGTAACATTGCCAAGTAAGTCATGAAACTAAATTTTTTTAAAAGCCTTAAACTTCTGGGTCACGTGAAGTTCTGTGAAAAGACTTTTTTGATCTCGATGTATGGTCATGTAACGAAAGTCAAATGTGAATTTATTTTATTAAATGTCTTCAACTTGTGTTTCTTCAACATCTGGATGAACTTGGAGAATAATAAAATGTAACTTATTAACAATTTGTCTCTACATTTTTGTTCTAACTCAACATATCCATGGGGGACGAGTCCCTCAAAGCTGGCTGGCTTTATCCCCATAGAGCTGGCTTTGTAAGGTCTTATTCTGTGATAGCTGCTTCTCCCTAGCATGTTGGGTTTCCCCATTCTCCCATCTTCCCCGCTGCATCTTACAAGCCTGCTTGTGTACACATATGCACTGGAAATTTGCTTTCTAGAGCATTCCATCTCTGGCTTCAGTGAGACCACTAACCTATATCTGAGGTACCCCAGCGAAAGCCCAGGATGGGGCTGCTGAAGATATTCTCCTCCAAGTGCCAAAAATTAACGGCCATGGCTTATTCATTCATTCTGCTGATTTGTGTTGCAGCATCTACTATGAGCCAGCCCTGTGCTGGGGCCTGGGGATACGGTGGTGAACATGCCACAGTGCTCACCCTCCAGGATCTTTCAGTGCCTGGGAGTAGATACAAATAAATAAGCACTTCTAACAAAATCTGATAAACGTAACAAAGAGAGAGGAACAGGCTGTTATAGGAACTCATATAAGGCATCAGCAATTAGTCTAGACTTGGAGGATCAGAGAAGGCTTCTTGGAGGAAGTAATGTCTGAACTGAGACTAAGGAATGAGTTGGAACTAGGCAGGCAGCTAGCTGGTTCACCCTGTGCATTATTCATAAATGTTCAAGCCCAGGCACATTTAACTCACCCACTCGCCTTACTTCTATGTCACCCCCTCTACTTTGCCTCCTTGCCTCGCCCTAGCTATGTAATTTGCTATGTGACCTTCCGGGAATGCCAGCTCATATTTACATATTTACATTTATTTGAGCCAGATAGATTTAGAAAGGTAAGTATGTAGCCATCAAAACAATCCTTGATTCAATGATTGAGAAACAAAATCCCCAAATTCCTGGCAGCTTCTGAGCGTGATATGTTAAACCAGTTGACCAGGCTTCTCTAGAAGAGATTCAGACACTGGATGGGGTTGAACTACATAACCCTGAAATTCCAGTCCTGTGTCTATTATTGAGCAACTGTGTGATGTTGGGCAAGTTTCCTAACGTCACTAGGCTCTCTTGTTTTTTAGTAGTAAAAGAGAAGGTAAGTCAGTCTCCAGTTGCCTCCCACTTCTAATAGGAAGCAAATCAAGTTTTTTTGCAAAGTTAAATAGAAATGATTCTTGAACGGGTGGTGCCATAAAAAGCCAGCTGAGGTCTTCACTAAAATGAAAAAGATTCTACCTAAAATTCCAAGGAAGTGCTTAGGAGGAGAGCTAGCGGGCTTGCAGTCTACCCCGAGCAGCTCTCTGAAGCTTATGCTCCACTCGTCTCATAGCTGTCTTTCCTCCACGAGGTTGGAGAAAGTTTCCATTGTTTCCCTATAGATTGTTCCTACTCATAAATGTTATTGATTGAAGCCAAGCAGATCTATTTCTAGGGACAGACAGCAAGGGACACACATTGACTGTTTCATAACCCCACACTTCCTACTCTACCAAGTTTTATTACATTCCTCTCTCTTACTAACCAGCTCTCCTGGAAGAACCCCTGCTTCTAAGTGGGACGAGGCAGTAAGTGAGGTGGACTCACTGCATAGCCCTCTCCACATGTCTATATGCTACGTGCAAGTTTAAGCCAAAGAGCTCCAATATAATGACGAGTCCTATTCTGACAAATCCCACAACAGCATGTCTCAGAAGTCTTGGCTGAATACAAAGGTCTTCAGTATGCTTACAGTCAACCCAAAGTTTCCAATTTCCAGTTTTAGAATAAATGACTTCTTTTTTAACGTTCCCACTGAGAGTGGAAGGTAGTGGACAACACCACCTCATTGTAAGCCCAAGTCATTCAGTGTAAGCCCAAGGTTCTTGTATGACCCAGGGAGCAGGGGAGGGATGGCTTAAGGATGTGAGACATTCACACAGCCAATAGAGAGAGAGAGAGAGAGAGAGAGAGAGAGAGAGAGAGAGAGAGAGAGAGAGAGAGTGTGTGTGTGTGTGTGTGTGTGTGTGTGTGTGTGTGTGGTGGGTATATGTAGTGTGTGTGGAGTATGTGGTGCATGTGTGTGTGCAGTGTGTGTATGGTGTGTAATACGTGGGATGTGTGGTGTGAAGTAACGTGCGTGTGTGGTGTGGCATGTGTGTGGTGTGTGCACATGGTGGGGATGGTCGGGAAGGGCAAGGGATGTCAAGCTGGTTTTCATTTCATTTGGGGAAAATGAAGTGTGAACGATTAAGCTATTTATAACAGACACACAAGGGAATTTCACTGCATGAGCTAAGAGGCCACTTGTGCCATTTTGTGAGGGCTCATGACACCTCCTCCTCTCAGATTGTCATTACCCAGGTGTCACAGCATGTTGTGGTAAGATGGGAATGTTTATATCTTGCCTCTCAGAGTTGTTTTGAAGATTAAGTGTGTAATGTCAGCGAAGTGTTTACTCCAGAGCAGGGCACTGTGATGAGCTCGGGGTAAACACCACCAGGCCTGTTACTGACCCCGTATCCTCCACTGTTTGAATATCTATCTCTACTTCTTTTCTCCAAACCAATTCTCCATCAAAGCTGTGGCCCCATAATTTATTTTTAATTTGCCTCTGGAGTAGGCTTTTAGAATTCCAAGTAATTTTTATCTACTTGATCATTCCATATATCAAACCACTGCACTTCTCTCATTCCAGTTAAACCAAAACGCTTGCAAACCTCAAAACATGATATGAGCCATGTTGTCTCTGTATCTTTCACTTGCTTTAAGAAAGGTTGTAGTAGAGACGTGGGAAGGCTAGAACGTATGTACCACTTCCATAAGCAGGATTCGCCTGCTTTCCCTTCTATCCTGGAGACTGAAGCCTATGACAGCATTTCTAGAAGGGGAAAGCAAGTCCTGGAATGTCCCCCTCATCTCTACCAAGCAATCCCTATTAGTTCTTCAAGGCTTCCTTCAAGCACCGTCTCCTCCAGAAAGCCTTCCCTGACCCTCTCGTGTTAGGTCACTGTCCTGTCAACTCCCATACTCTTTCTCAGGAGACGCTGTGCTCCCTGAGGGCAGGGACATTGTTTTTCATTTCTGTATCCTCAACCCCATAGCACAGTGCTCTGCTCTTAGGAATTGCTCAATCATGTTTGTGGGATGAATGGATTTCACAGTTATTTGCTTCCTAAAGGAAAGGTGTATTTGTTGGGCGTATTTTCCCCCTATAGCAACGTTGTTCATGTTGTTCCTGAGCATATAGCAAAGGAAGTGTTTGATTATACATTTAGTAAACCTCACCTGTGCTATAGATCCTGGGTCTCATCTATTTTTCCCATATTACCATTTACCTTTAAACAAATGAACAAACAAGCAACACACACACACACACAAGCCCTTTTATTGTTTTTCATTATTATATAAATAATATGTGCTCATTGTAAGACATAAGAACACATGGATAAGAAAAAGGAGGAAATAATAATGAGTATATATATCTTATTATTAGTAGTATACATAATAATAGTACTAGTAGTAATCGATATAGTTAGTAGAAATAATAAATAGTAGAAATAACAATGTCTCTGCTACTCAGAGATAATCTATTAATATTTTTGTGACCATACATGCAGACTTTTTGTTATGCAGGTCTATGCTTTAAAAATGGGTCACAGTGTTCATATGATACTTTCTCCTCTTAATATATATTTAAAAATATATTGTATGTCATATTTAGGTCACATTGTTTTTATTATATAAATATGCCATATCTCAATTAATCTTGCCTGGTTGAATTGTTTCCAATTGTTAGCAATTATTCACAGCACTGCAAGGTAGTTAAATGTTTAAGTAGTTATTTTATTATAACCTTAGGCTAAAATTTTTAAAATGAAAATGCTGATCTAATGGGTATACATATTTTATATGGTTTTTAACATTTTTTATAAGCTACCAAATTACCCTCAGCCCCTACTATCAATGCCTGAGTACTCAAGTCTTTGAGTTCTTGCCAGCCCTGGACACTTATATTAAAAACAGAACAATGCAAACAAGACATTTGGTTTTTGCAAAGTCATTCTTGTTTTACTTGACATTTTTTTTTTAATCACTGGGCAGGTAAAATTTCCTTTCTTTGTTTATTGATGCTTTTATCTTTTGTAAATATTTGTGTCTTTTGCATATTTTTCTGTTGAGTTACTAAATGCCTTTTTTTCCATGGAAGCTGCATCAGTGCCCAGGATGGCCTTGACTGAAAGCCCATTTTGCAATGATAGGTGTTAAATGAGGTTTTGTGTGTGTGTGTGTGTGTGTGTGTGTGTGCACATGCACTCGCATGTATGTATGTGTGTG